TATCGTTATTGCCTGGAATGAAAAAAACATATCGTGATATGAAAAAATCTTATATCGCCCAGCTCTGAAAGACGACAGTTGTGTTATCATGTTGTTAATGTGTTTTATGCAGTGTAAAATAATGCAAAATAATGCATCGTAAAAAAATATTAAAACGGTATTTGGTGACACACAAACAGGATTTATCAAAGTTCAGTTCTGTTAGTTTCAATATGCCGGTTGTTGTGTGCTAAAAACAATGGCCACCAGGCCAAAGTTTTGACTCGATCAGCGTTAACCCCGCCCCCTGAGTTTGATGAGTGAGGTTGACAGATAAAATAAATTTATGGTGAGACCTGAAGGAGTCAACTGTGCCAAAATGAATTAATTAAATACACCATTAAATAATTATTTAAATGTGGCAATAATTAATTAATGTGTTTAGAAAATTAATTAATTATTTAATGGTGTATTTAATTAATTCATTATGGCAGTCCTGGCATTCCATAAGTAAGTCACCAACAGTGACCATTAGATTTTAACTTTGATTCAGTCCTCCCACAGTCCAAAGGCATCCTTGTTAAGTTCATTGATTATTTTAAATTAGGGCGATTGCCTATGTATGAATCTAAGCGTATGCAGTTGTCTGTCTTTGTTTGGACTGGAAGATGTACCCTGTTTCTCACCCAGTGACATCAGGCATATTCTCCAGCCCTGCCATGTCACCGAAGAAGATGATTAAGAAAATAAATGGATGGATGATTGATGAGTGACCCAGCACAACACTCGAGAATTGTTTTACAAAAGTACAAACAGGAAGAAGGAGAACAGAGAATTTACGTTCATTTCACAACTACTTGCTAGCCCGTTTAGACTTTTATTGACTGCTTCTCCTGACTGACTTAAGAAATACAACTGAGTCATCTGTTTGTTATATTAAGATACAAAAACACATCCTGTTTGTTGAAGGTCATCTCACTCTAATATAACTGTTATATTGTTGTTGATATTTTTTCTTTTTAGTCACTTTATTCAAATATAATTACATCTATAACATCTGCCAGGAAAAGAAATGCATACACTCCGAATTAATTTGGTATAATTGATAAAGCAAGAATAAGCTCCTAACAGCTGACTGCTGTCTTGTCCTTCAGGACCTGCTGGGGAAAGATATTCTGGAGTTCTGCCATCCCGAAGACCAGAGCCACCTGAGAGAAAGTTTTCAACAGGTAAGACTGCGCTGTAGCTTTTTCCTTAAACGCAACACTTCTGTTACGTCTTTCTGTACTCATTCACCGTCAGCAGAAGAAGCTTTTACATCAGATTACCAGGGCTGGCAGGGAGGTTATAAACACAGCTGAACACATTCTTAGAGGAAATTTGGATATTACTTTGAAGCAGTCATTAGAGGCTCATCCATCCATTGATCATATTCATGAAGCTGTCAGCATCAGTCATCCAACATGTTTTATTCCTAGACGAACACGTTTTTTTCATCTGCTGTGGATTTTTCCATGTGTTCCTGTTTCCTTTGAGCTTAGCTCAAACAATGAAACACAGCAGTTGTGGTGTTTAGTTACTGATCACTATCACAAGTACAATACAAACACTTGATCAGGAAGGTCAGGCTTGATCAGTCTAAGATAAGTAATGGGGAGAGGAGAAATCCAGTAACACACAAATACAAAGTACATCAACAACTCTTTTACAGACACAGCCATCCATAAGCTGTCTCTCAGCAGATGATTGGGTTTACTGATCGTGTATTGTGCTTATGTCGACCACTTTTTCATTTCTCTGTCACAAGTAAAACTGATTGTGATCATGTAGGGGCTTAACTTTAATTTTCTGAAAGGTTACATACTCTAGTGGAATATC